ACTAAGTAGTTTGAATTTTGTGCAAATTTTGGCCGTAAGTCTAGCCAAGTTAGGTATGCATTAAATTTTTGGTTTTGTATTTATTTTTAGGTAGACATTTTGTAAAGCCTATGACTAGGCTTGACTAAGTAGTTTGAATTTTGTGCAAATTTTGGCCGTAAGTCTAGCCAAGTTAGGTATGCATTAAATTTTTGGTTTTGTATTTATTTTTAGGTAGACATTTTGTAAAGCCTATGACTAGGCTTGACTAAGTAGTTTGAATTTTGTGCAAATTTTGGCCGTAAGTCTAGCCAAGTTAGGTATGCATTAAATTTTTGGTTTTGTATTTATTTTTAGGTAGACATTTTGTAAAGCCTATGACTAGGCTTGACTAAGTAGTTTGAATTTTGTGCAAATTTTGGCCGTAAGTCTAGCCAAGTTAGGTATGCATTAAATTTTTGGTTTTGTATTTATTTTTAGGTAGACATTTTGTAAAGCCTATGACTAGGCTTGACTAAGTAGTTTGAATTTTGTGCAAATTTTGGCCGTAAGTCTAGCCAAGTTAGGTATGCATTAAATTTTTGGTTTTGTATTTATTTTTAGGTAGACATTTTGTAAAGCCTATGACTAGGCTTGACTAAGTAGTTTGAATTTTGTGCAAATTTTGGCCGTAAGTCTAGCCAAGTTAGGTATGCATTAAATTTTTGGTTTTGTATTTATTTTTAGGTAGACATTTTGTAAAGCCTATGACTAGGCTTGACTAAGTAGTTTGAATTTTGTGCAAATTTTGGCCGTAAGTCTAGCCAAGTTAGGTATGCATTAAATTTTTGGTTTTGTATTTATTTTTAGGTAGACATTTTGTAAAGCCTATGACTAGGCTTGACTAAGTAGTTTGAATTTTGTGCAAATTTTGGCCGTAAGTCTAGCCAAGTTAGGTATGCATTAAATTTTTGGTTTTGTATTTATTTTTAGGTAGACATTTTGTAAAGCCTATGACTAGGCTTGACTAAGTAGTTTGAATTTTGTGCAAATTTTGGCCGTAAGTCTAGCCAAGTTAGGTATGCATTAAATTTTTGGTTTTGTATTTATTTTTAGGTAGACATTTTGTAAAGCCTATGACTAGGCTTGACTAAGTAGTTTGAATTTTGTGCAAATTTTGGCCGTAAGTCTAGCCAAGTTAGGTATGCATTAAATTTTTGGTTTTGTATTTATTTTTAGGTAGACATTTTGTAAAGCCTATGACTAGGCTTGACTAAGTAGTTTGAATTTTGTGCAAATTTTGGCCGTAAGTCTAGCCAAGTTAGGTATGCATTAAATTTTTGGTTTTGTATTTATTTTTAGGTAGACATTTTGTAAAGCCTATGACTAGGCTTGACTAAGTAGTTTGAATTTTGTGCAAATTTTGGCCGTAAGTCTAGCCAAGTTAGGTATGCATTAAATTTTTGGTTTTGTATTTATTTTTAGGTAGACATTTTGTAAAGCCTATGACTAGGCTTGACTAAGTAGTTTGAATTTTGTGCAAATTTTGGCCGTAAGTCTAGCCAAGTTAGGTATGCATTAAATTTTTGGTTTTGTATTTATTTTTAGGTAGACATTTTGTAAAGCCTATGACTAGGCTTGACTAAGTAGTTTGAATTTTGTGCAAATTTTGGCCGTAAGTCTAGCCAAGTTAGGTATGCATTAAATTTTTGGTTTTGTATTTATTTTTAGGTAGACATTTTGTAAAGCCTATGACTAGGCTTGACTAAGTAGTTTGAATTTTGTGCAAATTTTGGCCGTAAGTCTAGCCAAGTTAGGTATGCATTAAATTTTTGGTTTTGTATTTATTTTTAGGTAGACATTTTGTAAAGCCTATGACTAGGCTTGACTAAGTAGTTTGAATTTTGTGCAAATTTTGGCCGTAAGTCTAGCCAAGTTAGGTATGCATTAAATTTTTGGTTTTGTATTTATTTTTAGGTAGACATTTTGTAAAGCCTATGACTAGGCTTGACTAAGTAGTTTGAATTTTGTGCAAATTTTGGCCGTAAGTCTAGCCAAGTTAGGTATGCATTAAATTTTTGGTTTTGTATTTATTTTTAGGTAGACATTTTGTAAAGCCTATGACTAGGCTTGACTAAGTAGTTTGAATTTTGTGCAAATTTTGGCCGTAAGTCTAGCCAAGTTAGGTATGCATTAAATTTTTGGTTTTGTATTTATTTTTAGGTAGACATTTTGTAAAGCCTATGACTAGGCTTGACTAAGTAGTTTGAATTTTGTGCAAATTTTGGCCGTAAGTCTAGCCAAGTTAGGTATGCATTAAATTTTTGGTTTTGTATTTATTTTTAGGTAGACATTTTGTAAAGCCTATGACTAGGCTTGACTAAGTAGTTTGAATTTTGTGCAAATTTTGGCCGTAAGTCTAGCCAAGTTAGGTATGCATTAAATTTTTGGTTTTGTATTTATTTTTAGGTAGACATTTTGTAAAGCCTATGACTAGGCTTGACTAAGTAGTTTGAATTTTGTGCAAATTTTGGCCGTAAGTCTAGCCAAGTTAGGTATGCATTAAATTTTTGGTTTTGTATTTATTTTTAGGTAGACATTTTGTAAAGCCTATGACTAGGCTTGACTAAGTAGTTTGAATTTTGTGCAAATTTTGGCCGTAAGTCTAGCCAAGTTAGGTATGCATTAAATTTTTGGTTTTGTATTTATTTTTAGGTAGACATTTTGTAAAGCCTATGACTAGGCTTGACTAAGTAGTTTGAATTTTGTGCAAATTTTGGCCGTAAGTCTAGCCAAGTTAGGTATGCATTAAATTTTTGGTTTTGTATTTATTTTTAGGTAGACATTTTGTAAAGCCTATGACTAGGCTTGACTAAGTAGTTTGAATTTTGTGCAAATTTTGGCCGTAAGTCTAGCCAAGTTAGGTATGCATTAAATTTTTGGTTTTGTATTTATTTTTAGGTAGACATTTTGTAAAGCCTATGACTAGGCTTGACTAAGTAGTTTGAATTTTGTGCAAATTTTGGCCGTAAGTCTAGCCAAGTTAGGTATGCATTAAATTTTTGGTTTTGTATTTATTTTTAGGTAGACATTTTGTAAAGCCTATGACTAGGCTTGACTAAGTAGTTTGAATTTTGTGCAAATTTTGGCCGTAAGTCTAGCCAAGTTAGGTATGCATTAAATTTTTGGTTTTGTATTTATTTTTAGGTAGACATTTTGTAAAGCCTATGACTAGGCTTGACTAAGTAGTTTGAATTTTGTGCAAATTTTGGCCGTAAGTCTAGCCAAGTTAGGTATGCATTAAATTTTTGGTTTTGTATTTATTTTTAGGTAGACATTTTGTAAAGCCTATGACTAGGCTTGACTAAGTAGTTTGAATTTTGTGCAAATTTTGGCCGTAAGTCTAGCCAAGTTAGGTATGCATTAAATTTTTGGTTTTGTATTTATTTTTAGGTAGACATTTTGTAAAGCCTATGACTAGGCTTGACTAAGTAGTTTGAATTTTGTGCAAATTTTGGCCGTAAGTCTAGCCAAGTTAGGTATGCATTAAATTTTTGGTTTTGTATTTATTTTTAGGTAGACATTTTGTAAAGCCTATGACTAGGCTTGACTAAGTAGTTTGAATTTTGTGCAAATTTTGGCCGTAAGTCTAGCCAAGTTAGGTATGCATTAAATTTTTGGTTTTGTATTTATTTTTAGGTAGACATTTTGTAAAGCCTATGACTAGGCTTGACTAAGTAGTTTGAATTTTGTGCAAATTTTGGCCGTAAGTCTAGCCAAGTTAGGTATGCATTAAATTTTTGGTTTTGTATTTATTTTTAGGTAGACATTTTGTAAAGCCTATGACTAGGCTTGACTAAGTAGTTTGAATTTTGTGCAGGTGGTGGGTGGTAGCAAGTGGGTGGTGACCATGGGTGGTGGTGGTGGTGGTGGCGGGTGGTGATGCTGGGTGGGTGGGTGACGGTGGCAGGTGGTGGCGAGTGGTGGCGGGTGGGTGGATAGGTGGGTGACGATGGCGGGTGGTGGGTGGTAGCAAGTGGGTGGTGGTGGTGGGTACTGGTGGCAGATGTGTGGTACGTGGGTAGTGGGTAATGGTGGTGGTGGTGGGTACTGGTGGCAGATGGGTGGTACGTGGGTAGTGGGTGATGGTGGTGGTGGTGGGGGGTGGGTAGTGGTGGCGGAAGACGGTGGTGGAAAATAGTGACAGGTGGTGGCTAGTGTTGGATGGTAAAAAAAAAAAAAATTGAAAACTAAAAACAGTAACACATTTTTTATATTTTCATTTTTTAGCCAAATTTATAAACTGAGACCACCGATTTATAAATAAAAAATTTTACCAAACAAATTTTTATTTGAATTTTTAAAATTTTTATAAATATAAACAAAAAATAAAAAACGTAAGTGTTACCAAACAGCACCTTAACTTTCAATTATTTTGTTTGAAAAGTATTCTTAAGAGTTAACGGTCCGTTTGGTGAGGCTTTTGGTGAGGCTTTTTTGTTTTTAAAAAAAAAAAACTAGAATTAAAAATATGTTTGGTAGTTTTTGTTGGTTTTATAAGATATCAATGAATTTTAAAATTTTCAAAATTTGAGGGAAAAAAATTTATTTTCAATTAGTTTCAAAACATTTTTTTAAAAGTTTTTAATGGACTTTTAAATATTAATTTTAATTTAATTTTAATTTTTACCAAATTAATTGAATAATTATAATAAGGAAAAAAATCCAAACCCACAAGAAATGACCCCCATGACCCCATGTGGGACGTGATTGGCCAATTTTTTCTTTTTCTTTTTCTTTTTTTCTTATTCATTCTCTCCCAATCGTACGTGTGTGTGGGGTGGTGGAGGTGGGGTTGAGGGGATTTCATTCCCCTATCTTATTTTAATGATTTTTTATAAAAATATGTGTAAAAAAATAAAAAAAATTTTAAATCCAACAAAAGGAGACCTTAAAAGTTGCATTATTAATTTTTTTTTTATTTATTTTTTATTTGAAAACTGGCCTTTTCCTTGCCTAGTCAGTAATGCAAAACTGTCAGATGAGCACACCAGTCAAATGCGTCTATCTCTCTCCTGTGTGTGTCTGTGAATTTTCTCTCTCTAAACCCGCCTTTCCCTTTTCAAAAACCACACTCCTCTAATCAAAAAACGTAAAACTCGATAGATACAAAAACCAAACCAGACCAAAAACCCTTGACAATCTCTGAAAATGGAGTTCGAAGAAGACCCAGTTGGTTTCTTCATGAGTCTCGATTGTTGGCCTCTATCTCCGCCGACCCAAGACGAAGACGACAACAACGAAGACTCCTCTTCTTCTTCTCAGTCTTCCTCCGAGACCTTCATGATTGGTTTCTTAATCGTCAACATCGTCGGTCTACAACACTACTCCGGCACGATCAGTGGCCGAGAAATGGTGGGTCTGGTTCGCGAACCCCTCAATCCTTTCGACGAGAACGCAATCAAAGTGCTCAACACTCGGACCATTCAAGTGGGTCACATCGAACGCTCCGTAGCCAGGGTCCTCGCGCCTTTGATCGATCAGAATTTGATATCTGTTGAAGGAATCGTCCCCAACACTCCCGGAAGAGGCAACCGGTACAAGATTCCCGTACAAATTCACATTTTTGCTCACCAGGAGGCATTTTCCCGAGTCAAATCGGAGATTTTGCGAGGTGGGTTGCAGTTGATTTCGAACGAGGATGCGTCTTTTACTCTATCTGAATCGGTTGTGGTCAAGGAGAAGAGGAGCATTAAGGATGGGAAGAGTTTGGATGATATATTCAAATTGGTGGATGAGAATGTGAGTAAAAAGTCTGCAATGGAGGCTTTGGAGCCACCCAAAGATGTTATCAAATCGGATCTTTTTTTGCATCAGAAGGAAGGTTTGGGGTGGTTGGTTCACAGGGAGAATTCCTGCGAATTGCCACCTTTTTGGGAAGAGAAAGATGGGGCTTATGTCAATGTGTTGACTAACTATCAGACCCAAATGCGTCCCGAACCAATGCGCGGTGGAATCTTCGCGGACGACATGGGATTGGGTAAAACTCTCACTTTGCTTTCTTTGATTGCTTTTGATAAGTTTGGTGCCATTCGGTCTTCAATTGATAGTGGTAGAGTAGATACAGAACGAAGTGAGGAATTAGATGAAGAGAATGCTAGACTGGCTGTTTCGGGTAGTAAGAAGGCGAAAAGGGGGAGTAAAAATGATACTAATTCACGGAAGAAAAAAAGAACTGAAGATAGCCATTGGAATAAATTGGTGAAAGGAAAATCTGTGGATGGATTAGATAGATATGGTGGTGCTTCATGTGTGAAATCGACATTGATTGTGTGTCCACCATCTGTATTTGCAACGTGGGTAACACAATTAAGAGAGCACACAAGACCAGGAAGGTTGAAGGTGTATATGTATTATGGAGAACGGACTCAGGATGCGGAGGAGCTTCAGAAGTATGATATAGTTTTGACAACTTATAGTACTCTAGCCAGTGAAGAACATTGGTCAGGAACACCTATGAAGAAGATAGAGTGGTGGCGAGTCATTTTGGACGAGGCACATGTGATTAAGAATGTCAATGCTCAGCAAAGCCGTGCTGTCACTAGCCTGAATGCTAAGAGGAGGTGGGTTGTTACGGGGACACCCATACAAAATGGGTCATTGGACTTGTTCTCACTCATGGCATTTTTGAGGTTTGAGCCATTCTCGATTAAAAGCTATTGGAATAGCTTGGTTCAGAGGCCGCTTGCTCAGGGTAAAGTCAAAGGGCTCTCGCGGTTGCAGGTAAGCGCATATCATCCTTTGTTTCTTCAACTCATAATGAAAAGAGTTCTTCCATCATTGAATTTAAAACGTGCATTTAATATTTTATAAGTAGGGGGTGCAAGAAAAACCAAGGGAACTGAACCAACCATTTAAGACCGACCAAAATTTCAGTTCAGTATGCTTTTCATAACATTTGGTATGTTTCGGTTTTGAATTTTTTTACACACAAACCGAACTGACTGAAATATTATATTTACATATTTTCATATTTTAATTTTTTGAGCATTAGAAGACAAGTGACTGGCAATACATTTTCATAATAAAAATGAAGGAGGGAGACATTTATAGAACAACTTTCACATATTTTTTTTATCCCGATTTATTCTCAATGTGGTATTCAACAAATTTTTAATAAAACCCTTTAAAACTTCATGTGAATCCCTTCTTCACACCAAACAGACTAAACTGAACTGTAGTATGCAGTTTGTTTTGGTTCCTTAACCAACAAAACCTTAGGATTCGGTTTGGTGCTAAATTCTCTCTCAACCCCAATTGAACCAAATCGCTTGCAACCCTATTTATAAATGCCTTTTTTAATTTTTTAATTTTATGAACATGGAACATGTCTTTCTGTTGTGTGAAAGAGAGTAAGACATAAGAGGGAAATCGGAAGCAAATTTGGGTGAAAAGTAAAAAAGACAATGTGGACCTTTCACTTTAAAATAGCACCTATAAAGTTGACTTAAATTAAATAATTACATTGACACATAATTATTGTGTTGTTTTAACGTCAGCTAAGGGTCTCCAGTGACTACAACATCACTGCTCTTTCTGTAGAGCACCAGAGTCTTGCCCCTGCCAAATTGTGTCATTTTGTATGGTGGGGATACATTTCTCTACAAATGGTCATTGGTGTCATATGGTCCATTAGTTTTAGGTTGGATTGTGTTGGAGGGCTAATCATGCAGTTCTTACATATCCAGTGGGGACTGATCATGTTACATCTATGAGATTTTATTTGGAAAAAGAAAAGAAATAGGTACTCGAAGCATTTCAAATTTTGTACGTTTTTTCTTGGTATAGAGAAATTGTAAGGATATGCTTCAATTTTTAATGTACAGAATTCTGCTTCTGACTTTTCTTGGTTGTTCAGTCAAGTTCTTGCACGCTGACCTGTTCTGAATGGCAGGCTTTCTTATAGTTTGGATGTCCATAGATGAATTAACTTCTGCTTTGTAAGGCAGTAAATATGGGACAGGAACTGTATATCTGGAACTTGCAATGTAGAGCTAAATCATGTCTCGGATGGAACTGTTGGATGAATCACAATTAGGCAATGTAAAGAGAAAGTTACTATGATTATTTAATATTATATTGGAAAAAGAAAAATCATATGATTATTAGTTTTGTAGCTGGATTTAAGATAACAAAGATGGCTGTTCAGTTTATAAGAAAGTAAGGCATCTAAATCTAAAGCTTCTATGGCATACTATTTATGTAATGGTTTTTAAATGAACTTCTGGAATCATATGATTTAATTGTGTGCCACATATTTATGCTTTTTATTTTATGTTTTCCTTTTTTTCTTTTGTTTTGTTCTCTCTCTCTCTCGCTCTATTTATTTAGCTATTTTATTTCTTTATTTTTATTTTATTTTATTTATTTTTACATGATAATGATTCTTATTCATTGTGCTTGTAATGTAACTTAGGTTCTAATGGCAACCATTTCTTTGAGGAGAACAAAAGATAAGGATTTAATTGGATTGCCACCTAAAACTATTGAGATTTGTTTTGTGGAGCTTTCTGCTGAAGAACGTGAGTTGTATGATCAGATGGAAAATGAAGCCAAGAGTGTTATTGAGAACTATATCCATGCTAATAGTGTGACTAGCAATTACTCAACTGTGCTTAGCCTACTTTTACGGCTTCGTCAAATTTGTACAGATATAGCCTTGTGCCCGGCAGATTTGAGATCATTTTTTCCATCTAACAATATTGAAGGTATTTCACAAGCTTTCTTTAACATTCTTACTCATTGTGTTAAATTCTTGAGGCGTAGATCTATTTTTTTTTCCCCTTTCAAATATCTCATTTATTATCATAGAATGTAAATTTGGTGGAGTTGTTCGTTTGTTGCCTCTACTTCTACCTGTGTTATTATAATTTCTTTATGATTCTATATTTCCCTATAGTATGCCTATATTTACCCCAGATTGATGTGTTTTTGTTGATTTAACTAGTTCTTCTTATTGAGGTGCTTTTGTTTTTAATATATTTTTTAAACCAAATATCTCTCTTATACCATATTTTTCTTCTTATTGGTACAGTGTTTGATGTATATGCATGTATACGGGGCTTGCATCTGCTTATTGGTGTCCACCTAGTTCAAATACATTTAGCTTTATGCTGGTAACGGACTGTCTAAAGATTTTACAATATCTATCAATTACATAATGCATTTATCCTTGCCGAGTTTTAGGAGTAACCATGTAAAGTAAGACACAAAGCACCTGGTAGTTGGAGGTTTTGGTGATTTCTGTCTCAATCAATGGCAAATGAAGTATGAAGCCTTAGTGTAACACAAAGTTCACTAACATGGGGAATGGTGGTCTTATTCTAAAGCATGAGTAGAGTTTTAGGAGAAATACATATTGACAGGCTTAAAAATAAATAAATTTCACTGGTGATTTGTTGGAGCTGTTTGGCGGAATGGGTTGGCTTAAACATAAAATAAATTTCACTGTCTGGCTTCTTTTACTTATCCCCCCAAAAAAGGGTTGGCTTCTTTAACTTGTCGGCATCTCAAAGGGTTTTGTAACTTTTGAGCTTGGTTTATTAGTAGGCTCAATTCCACTGTAAATTTTTGTTTCAAAGTGGGATCAGTTCCCTTAGGGAGTGGTACACTAAGAAACACGGACACGGGACACGGCAATTTTGAAAAAAATTAAGATATTGATACATCGGGCATACAACAAAAAATATTATATATATATATATATATATTTATTTGCCATGTATATAAATATAAATTGTGTGCAGAGATATAAGAGGCATCTTGTTATATGCGAGTGTATTTCTATGAATAGTGATAAATTTGGAAGATTTTCAAAAGCTTGAACTATGTTACTTATTATGCTAATATAAGATATGGCAATATAAACTGATGACCTGCTTTTGGAGGGTTTAAAAATTTCTCAATGTTAAGCTATTGAGATTTTTCTTTTTTTTTGGATAAATAAAACCAATCTTATTAAGAACGCATCAAATTGATGCAAACAAATACAGAAATGCCATCCCCAATTAGGGGAAACTAACCATAAACAAAGCTAACCAATCACATCGTCTAGAAAATCCAAAAAAACAAATATGTTCGATCAACTTTCCTCTCCAACCAACTATACATAACCACTAAAAGACGATTTTGTAACTAAGCAATCCCATGAGCAACGTCTAAGAAAGTACGCTGATTCCGCTCCAACCAAACAAGCCACATCAAACAAAACGGCGCCAACACCCAAACCCGTCGCCGGCAACGCCCAAACCTAACGCCCCTCCACGCCTAAAGCATATCCAACACCTCCTTCGGTTGAACCCAAGCAATCCCAAAAAGAGAACAAATGAAAGCCCACAATTGGGAAGCCACCAAACAATGAAGAAACAAATGATCCACCGACTCAGCAGCACGACAACACATGCAACACTGATTCACTAAAATATGACCACGCCGCATTAAGTTGTCCAAAGTAAGATTCCGTCCTAAAGCGGCCATCCACATAAAGAAAATCACTTTAGATGGAACAACCGGTATCCAAACACTATTCCAAGGAAAAGCAAACCCATTATCCCCCACCAAACCCTTATAGAAAGATGTAACTGAAAACCGGCCCTTGCCCCCCTCTCCCCCCCCCAAAGTAATTCTGAACCCATATAAAACACCCCACAACTCCACCAACTGAGCAACCTCCCAATCATGCACCGCACGCCGCAATTGAATATCCCACGCTACCATATCTCCACCCCCTAAATAAGATGCCACTGTCGCCTCCTGATCAACCACAATATGAAAAATCAACGGAAAATAGACCTCCAGAGACTCCCCCCCACACCACATTTCCTTCTAAAACCGCATCCGCAACCCATTGCCCACCCTAAACCCTACCCACCTCCAAAACTCCTCTCGACCCAACCAAATCCCTTTCCAAAGCCCACAATCATGCGTGGTGAGCACATCCCCTGAAATCCAATTCCTCCTCCCCACCCCATACTTAGAAGCCCCCATCATTCGCCAGAACCTGTCCGCCTCCAAGGCAAACCGCCACAACCATTTCCCTAACAAAGTTCTATTAAAAGTCACCAACCTCCTCACCCCCAACCCCCCCTGCTTGCTTAGGTTGACAAATCCTCCCCTACTCAACTAGATCATATTTAAACTCATCACCACTATTACTCCACAGAAAATCCCTCTATAGCTTCTCCAACTGATGCGCCACTGATATGGGAATAACATGGACCAACATAAAATAGGTCGGAATACTGCTCAACACACTCTTAATCAACGTCAACAGACCACCCTTCGACGTACTACCTCTTCCAACCCGCCAGACGGCGTTGTACGCGCTCCACTACCCCATTCCAAACCCCTTTCACCTTGAAAGAGGCACCTAACGACAAACCCAAATAAGAAACCGGCAAAACTGATATCCTACACCCCAAGACAACAACTAAAATAGGTAACGGCTCGACTTCCCCAACTAGAATAAGCTCTGACTTCCGCAATTAACCCGGAGGTCCGAAACTGCATCAAAACATAACAAAAACACCGCAAATGACCCATCTGCTCCACATCAGCCCTGCAGAAAATCAAAGCGTCATTCGCATATAATAAATGAGATACAACAAGAGACGCCCCAGACAACGATCTGACAGCAAAGCCCCCCAGGAGACCCCCACGCACAGCTCTATCCAACAATCTACTCAACGCCTCCATCACTAAAATAAATAACAGAGGTGACAACGGATCCCCCTGCCGAAGACCTTGATACGTCGGAAAAAAACCCTGCTGGAGATCCATTAATCAAGACAGACATCCGCACAGTCGAAACAAAGAATTTAATCCAATGGAACCAAGTATTCCAAAACCCATCCGATCCAACATGTACAATAGGAAATCTCAATTAACGTTGTTATATTCCTTCTCAATATCCAATTTGCAAATCAAATTGGATCGTTGTTGTCGAATCCGAGAATCCACACAGTCATTGGCAACCAACACAACATCCAAAATCTGCCTGCCTCCTACAAACACATTCTGAGACTCAGACACCACAGCCTTTAAAACACTTCTAAGTCTATTGGCTAGAACTTTAGTTAATATTTTATACACACTGCCCAAGAAGCTAATAGGCTGAAAGTCACGAACATCCTCAGCCCCCCCTTTCTTTGCGATCAAAGCCAAAAAAATCACATTAAAACTTTTTTCAAATTGGCTAGATTGGTAGAGAGCCTCTAAAGTTGCCATCACATCACCTTTCACCACACTCCAACAATGCTGGAAAAAAGCCAATGAGAAGCCATCTGGACCTAGAGCTTTGTCACCACTCATGGATTGCAAAGCCCTAAACACCTCATCCTCCATAAAAGCACGCACCGAACGCTTCTTATCCTCCCCCGAAATCATATCAACTGAACCCCTTCCAAGCTTGGCCGCCACTCTCCCTCTTGTTGTCGAAACAAATTTTGATAGAAACCTACAATCCCTTCCCGAATCTCTTGATCTGCGCAAAGCTCTCGACCATCCACCCACATCCTAGTAATTTGATTAATCCGTCGATGTGCATTCACCATCTGATGAAAAAATTTCGTATTTCGATCCCCATCCTTCAACCACAAACATTTAGATTTTTGTCTAAAGGACACCTCCATGCGAGAAATACGAACAAAGTCCTGTCTGGCCGTCTCCTTCCGAACACTATCAGCAGTGGACAAACCCCCTTGCACCTCTAACTCATCAAGGGCCCGGAGTGAAGACACCACCTCCGCTTTTTGACCCTCTAATCGGCCAAACACCTCCTTATTCCAAATCTTTAAATCTCCCTTGAGCAATTTCAATTTATGGGCCAGCACACTACTAGGAGAACTAGAAATGACATAACTACTCCACCAACCACGCACCACATCCAAAAAACCCTCTGTTTGCAGCCACATATTCTCAAATCAAAATGGTGTAGGACCACAACGAATCCCCCCACTATCAAGCACAATAGGCCAATGATCAGACACTGGGCGAGGAAGACGTAACTGGACAGCCTTCGAAAAATGCTCTTCTCCCATCCCCTAGTCACCAGAAAACGATCAATACGAGACATCCTCTGCCCATTTGACGACGTGAAGCTGCATCCCCGAATAGGTAAGGCAACCAACTGCAAAGAATCAATCAAAGAACAAAAAGACCTTATGGACCCCGAAACCCGATTGGTTCTTGACCTCTCCGATGGCCATCTAATAACATTAAAATCTCCCTCGACACACCATGAAACATCCCATCGAAACGTCATACTTTGCATTCCTCCAGAAACCCTCCCCGCTCCGAATGCTACACAAGACCATACACCCCAGTGAAGGCCCACTAAATACCATCCTCCACACATCGAAACAAACAGGACACCGAAAACCCCCCCACCTCCTCCTCTCTCACCACCACCCTCTTATCCCAGCAAAGAAGAATCCCCCTTGCCGTCCCAAAAGACGGCAAAAATGCCCATTCCACAAACTGCCCCCCCCATACCTCCCGAAAAACAACTCCTCCATCTTTGTTTCTTGTAGACACACTACATCCACCTTGGCTCCACGCAACATAGCCTTCACTGCCACCCTTTTATTCTTATCATGCGAACTCCGCACATTCCAAGATAAAATTTTTAGCTTCATTTCAACAACAGTGGTCCCCCACGCTCTCTTCTAGCTCCCCGTCCGACTTTCTGCCTCCCATGATCATAATTAACAGTACATTCCAAATTCTTGAGCTCCTGGTGCCTTTTATTGGGGGAAACAAACGGTGTACCCACTCCCGAACTAGGAGCCCCTTGCCACCAAGATGCTTCTACTGTTGCAAATAATCGCATAGCCTCCTCTTCATGCCCCTCAAAAAACAAACCTAGACAGCGGCTAACTTCCCCAATGCGCTTCAACACCCAATTCGACACTGCCTCAGAAGATGGAACCTCTGGCCCATCCAACCCACTGTTGTTCTGGACCATGTTTTGATGTTGTCCCAGCAAATCTTCTGACCCACCTCCCTTTGTAGCAAGGTGTTGGAGCACCAAAGCCAGCCCATCAGTACTGGGAAGCTCACTTGTTCAACACAATCTGCCCAAGAAACACCCTCAAGTGCCGCCATAGCTGGATCGACCTCACCATCTTCAGCTTCCGAGCATATGCCTCTCCCGCCTGTTCTGCTTCTTATGGAAAATTCTTAGCTCCTGTTTACCTAGATTAAGCACTTCTGAATTGTCGTGGTAATTATTTTAATTCATCTATGTTAGTCCTTTATATGAGATTGATTACGCTTGTGCAGGTGCATTAAAGGACCCTATTACAAAATGCTGTATTTTAACAAACTCAACCATTAGATAAAATATTGCATGTACATAACTGTGCACAACTGCATTCATGTGCTTGTGAGCATTTTCTTTGTCAAATTTTCAAATTCTCTTTTCTTCATTGATACCAAATGAAGATTGCATCAAATACTAAAAAGTTTTCATTCATGCTTTCTTCAAGAAATGCCTTGTTGTACAAAATGACAATAACCATGTGACTTCGGATACTTAAATCAAAATTGTCTCCTATGGGACATGTAATTATTTCTTTGTATCTCTCTCCCTCTGGTTTGTTATGTAAATTCTTAATGACTAAAGCTTGACCATGTTGTGAAAAAATATTTTTAGGTTTCAAAGTAGTTCATTTTCTTTAATCAGAAGAATTTCTTGCTGCCTTTTCTTACTGTAGGCTGTACGATATAATTTTTTTTAGTTCTCATGACTTATCAATTGAATCCTAGCAGATGTATCCAACAATCCCGAACTGCTGAGAAAGATGGTTTCTTTGCTGCAAGATGGAGAGGACTTGGACTGCCCAATTTGTATTTCTCCACCAAATGATATTGTTATTACATGTTGTGCTCACATCTTTTGTCGATCCTGCATCTTAAAAACCCTCAAACGGACTAAACCCTGCTGCCCATTATGCCGCCGTTCATTGTCAGAGTCTGACCTCTTCTCCTCCTCACTGGAATCCTCTGACACAGACAACCCCAAAGTTTCCTGTTCTAGTACATCTTCCAAGGTGTCTGCTCTCTTAAAACTTCTTTCAGCATCAAGGGATCAAAACCCAACTACAAAATCAGTTGTTTTCTCACAATTCCGGAAAATGTTGATTTTGCTTGAAGAGCCGCTAAAAGCAGCTGGTTTTAAGATTCTGCGCTTGGATGGCTCGATGAATGCAAAAAGGAGGGCTCAGATAATACAAGAATTTGAAGTCCCAGCACCAGATGGACCTACAATTTTACTGGCAAGTCTAAAAGCTTCAGGTGCTGGAATAAATCTTACAGCTGCTTCTCGGGTCTACTTGCTGGAGCCATGGTGGAACCCGGCAGTTGAGGAGCAGGCTATGGACCGGGTCCACCGGATTGGGCAGAAGGAGGATGTGAAGATTGTGAGGGTGATTGCTCGAAATAGCATTGAAGAGAGGATATTGGAATTGCAAGAGAAAAAGAAGACACTTGCTAGAGAAGCTTTTGGTGGGAGAGACCCAAAGGATAGGAAGGAGATTAGCATAGATGATCTCCGAACTCTCATGTCCTTGTGAGTTACTCTTACTCTTACACCACATTTTTGTTGACATGCATGTTACTTTTGCTTACACTTGTATGTAAATATTTTGTACACACTTGAAGCTTTTGTACTTTTTTGTTTGTGGATGCATGCACAACCACCCATGCATACAAATATTTAGCACATGCATAAGATAAAATCTCCTTTTGAACTTTTCCATTGTCTTTTATCATCTGTGGGAAAGAATGAATGTAAGAAAATGAACATGCTTATTCCGTCCCTTTTTGTTTTATACTGTTGGGGCAAGAATTGAGTACGAGAAATGGAAATTGGGTAGTATATTTTCGTGGTGAATGATGGGATTTTTAGGCCCTTCAGAGTTTTATTTTCTTTTTTCATGATCAAACATCATCTTCACTCGGTGCTGTCTATTTGAAAGCCTTCAGGAGGGAGACTGTTGCTTGGTTGCAACACATTGAATAAGAAGCCTATAGCCTCACTTTTTGTTCATGGCAATGTCGTTTTGCAGGTTGTGTACATATCTACTTCTATTGCTGTCTTGAATGTTTGAAATATGTAGCACATGACTTTTTTAATTTTTAATTTTTTTTAATGATAATTGTGCTTGATTGTGAAATCCCTCCTGTAAATGTGATAATTTTCATTAGGTATATTTCCAACTGTATAGCTATTTTTCTAGGGAATTTCCTCTATAGATACTGAACTCTGATTAATCACAGATGGTAGACTATTTTTGCTGCACAATCATGAATGGCAAAGGAAATGGGGTTTGCCATTGTTTATCACCAGCAGTTATTGGTTAATCTTTCAAAACATTTTCCACATTTTTTTTTTCTTTTCCTTTTCCTTCATTGTGTTCACCGCCTGCAATGGATTGTTTATTGCTTTGTAGATTTTGTTTGACTTTTTTTTGTTGTGTGTTTTCTTATTTTTGGGAATGCATGAAGGGCTATTCATAAAATTGAATGACCCGTCAAAACTGACCGAACCAAATTGACTTGACAAAGAATGGCCAGTTGGCTTCGGTTTTGCATTTGTAAAAGAAATTGTTTGTTCAAATCAAATCTGATTGAACGGCTAAATAACTAAGGAGTTTTAGTGATACATGTGTCGTTAAGTTAGTAGCCAATGACATTACTTTCATACATATCTCTTCAGGTCTCTCCATTGAAATTTATCTTTTCATACTCAATTCTTCATTGCTCTCTCTCTCTCTCAAAAACTCTATGTCACGTATCTAAATTCCATTTCTCTCTCATGCCAAGTTAATGGTCTTGGATTTGATGTGATTTGTGAAGCATCATCCTGAGAGGTTCCTTCCTTTCACTACTCTTGCTCTCTTACCCACTCTAATGCGGTGATAACACTAAGTTAATGGCCTTGGATTTGACGTGATTTGTGAAGCATCATCCTGAGAGGTTCCTTCCTTTCACTACTCTTGCTCTCTTACCCACTCTAACGCGGTGATAACACTAGCTAAGTGATGGTGGTGATGCACTATTGTGTCTGTGGCGCTGATAGGTTTCATCTCTCTTCCATTGATACCCCTATACCAGTCGATGGCACTTCCTCTTCACGCTTCATTCTCTTTTTCACTCATATTTGCATTTAGTTTCTCCCTCATATTGTAGTTGTGATGGTTATGTGACTTGCTCTATCTATGCAATCCTTGATGTTGGACTTTTGTGGACGAATTTGGTTATAATGAAACCAACTATCCAAACTGATACAAAGGGACAATCGACTTTGAACATGCATTTGGTCGAAATTAGGTGACAAAAGACTCAACCTAGTGTGATCGGTTCGGTTGGCTTGAATAGGATCAGAGCTGGGTTGGGACGATAGATGGGGTAATGATGCCAAGCTATGTAACCTCAAGATTGGATACCAATGTTGAGTTGGGTAATCAAGTCAAGATTGGATGACGATTTTTGGGCTGGGTTTAGTTTGGATGACAACGAGAGGATGGGATGATGAGGGTAATCGACGGTGTTCAGTTGGATGGTTGAGACAATCATAGAGGCATCATGAGCCTGATAAAGATGGTGAGCGACGTCGGGTTGCTTTTTCACTGTTGTGACTTTGTTGCTATTGTACAACATTGAGTTTTTTTGTTAATTTTTGTTTTTGTTTTGTTTGTAAAGAAAGGGTTTACTTTTGTATGACCCCAGGCTATGGTTGCTACGATACAATGTTAAGGTAGAGAGAGAAAAAGAGAGTAGGGGAATGAGAGAGATTAACCCTTAAGATTAGCTCCTCTAACTAACTATATGAAAGAGGTGTCTAATATATTGATCAAAATACTCTTAACACATACAAAAAATATTTTGGCAATTTAGTTGATTACTTCATTTTTTTTTCTTATTCAAAGGTTTTGTAAGTGTTAAACACTACCTTTTTAAGGACATTCATCGCTTTTACGATGCACTCGAATACCCACTAGAATGATGAACATTCAATAGGAAATGTTTGGAGCTGATTGTCTCACCCATTAATGGTGTCCAGTGTAAAATTGAAGTAATATTTTGGTACACATTTATGCAGGTGCAATAACCGACGCCTTCGATTGTGATCGAGACTTCAATTATTACTATTCATAGTAAGGGAAGACATGGTGGCGGTGGCTCTCTTAGCCGTTCCAAAGTTTATCATTTTCTTCAATGTATTGATTAGTGCAACCTTATTTATTGTGGTTTTAGAGTTAATTTTCTTTTGTTTGAATGAAGGGAACTAGATCATTTTACATTTAAGGATATATGGCTTGATTGAGTATTTGTTGGGGATAATTTTAATGCTATTGTGCATGATTGAAATCCTAAAAATGGCTGCATATTTCTAAAAAGCGGCATGCCCCATGAACAGGGAGTAACAATGAATCGATTCAATCGATTATTTATTGGAAACACAGGTCTTCTTACAGTAAAACCTTGCCTGGTGCGGAGGTTGGAGAAGTAAAGACGAGGGAGGTGACTTCGAAAGTTTTCTTTTGGTGGTAGTAATTGTGCTTGATTTAGAAGTGTGATTGGTTGTTGCAACATCCAACAAGGAATTGGTTATTGCAAAAATGAAAGGTTTTGAAACTTTAAGGCCATATTTGGTTGGCAAGCATGGAAGACAAGAATATCTATCTCATTATTAAAATTTGCATAAAGATTCTCTTATTATAACCTTTCAGGCATTGGGAGTAGTCAGGATTCAGGATACTTGTATGAAAGATTGATATTATTATAAATATCATGGCCGACCTTTTATTTCGTCATTGAATAGTCTAGGAATGTGTGATTCTTGTGGGAGGTGCAAGAATGACATGTTCACTTAGTTTGGCAATCTCAATTCATGATTGGACTTAAGGCTTGGTTTGATTTGGTTTGGCTATCTCAATTCATCCTGCATGGGTTATATGGATAGACTTTTTGCATTTGAGTGCATCCAAATAACAAAATGAATGTCTCTTCGTATGAAATATCCATTTCTCATTTGATTCTATCCATCTTAACTGGGCTTAAGATTGGTGTTTTCCACTCGGCTTCCTAAGCAGTGTTCTTATTAGCTATTGGCTATGTTACATGGATTCTGGTACGGGTGTCGGGTGCGGATATGTATCTAGAGGTCGGACTCATCAAATTATAAATTTAAGGATGCGTGGACTCGGCAAAAAAAATGTCATATTTTTATATTTTTAATAAAGTATGTGAAATAAAATGGTGCTATATGTAACTTACAGTGTCAAAAAAACATTTATAGCAATTATACAACAATATACACATATAATAATAGTGTTATATACAATTATATAAGAAGTGTCCGTTGAAAAATAGTCGACACATATCCCATACCCTTGTTTGAGTGTCGGGTGTCCGACACGGGTATTTAATTTATTTTGAAGAGTCCGTGTGACATAGGCTATTGGAATGAGGATTACCAGTTGGAAAAGTATAACGGTCCCTTTCCATGTTCGGAGCTCAAGTAATTAGTTGATTTAAAATTTGGTGGACTTGTAAAGATGGCAATGAAATTAGTGTTATCAAAGTCAATTTGTTGAGATAGCAGTAGTTAGCAAAAGAGCTCCTTTTATCCGATTTAAAGATGGCCTAAGGGATATTGAAGTCAGGGAATAAGAATCAAATGATATTTTTCTTTTTCTCTTTAGCAATATTTAATTTGAAGAAATTGCCTGGAGGAAGCTAAGTCATAATGGAAGTGGTGCCTTGTTGCTACGGGATTACGATGAATATACTCCAGGGAGTAGATACCATAAAACTTGTCTTTGTGAATGCCAAAGGATCATGATTAAAACTTATGATTTTTTAATGCTAGAAGTTGAAAGATGTTCGTTGACCTTATAAAGGTGGAAGTGAGCAAATAGTTGTTTTTGGATGATATAATATATACGAACAAATAAATGTCTTTTTGACTTGGAAAGTTTCCTTCTGGCGATCGTAATTGTGCTCGATTTGGATGTGTGATTGGTTGTTGCAACAATCAACGAGTAATTGTTAATTACAAGAATGGAAGGTGTTGAAAACTGTTAGCCCCTATTTGGATTGAAGGTATGGAAGATACAAATATGTATCTCATTATTATAATTCGTAGCAAGATTCTTGTGTCATTACCTTTTCGGCGTTGGAAGTAGTCATGAATCAGGGTACCTGTCCGAGAGATTGATATTATTATAAATATTGTGGCCAGCTTTTGTTTCAATCTTGAATAGTTCAAGAATGCGTGATTCCCATGGGAGGTGGTGGAATGATCTTTTCCACTTAGATTGGCAATCTCAATCCACTCTAAATGGGTTATCTGGATTGGCTTTCTATGTCTGTATACATCCAAATAATAAAATGAAGTCTTGGTGGCATATGTCCTTTCCTCATTTGATTCCATCCATATAAATCGGGCTTAAGATTGGTGTTCTCCACCTTGGGCTATAATCAATGTTCTTATTTGCTCCTAGAATGAGGATATCAATTGGTGAAGTATAATAGTCTCTTTCCATGTTGGGAGCTCATGTAATAGGTTGATTTGAAATTTTGTGCACTTGTAAAGATGGCAATTAAATAAGTGTGTTTGAAATTTGTTGAGATATAGGCAGGAAGCAAAATACCTCCTTTTACCCACCTTAACTTACTTCTGAAAATAGGATGGTTGACCCAATATTTTTACTCATTTTATAATTACAAATCCTTAATTAATTTCCAATTTCATGATAATAATAAATGAGAGTGTAAGAGATAAAGTATGACAAATTCATAAACCTAAAAGTATTCCTCTTTCTCATTGAACTTCCATGATGGTTACATCCTTAAGTTTACATCACAATTGTTCGAAAGTACATAATACAAAAGTAGTTAAATAAGTGAGAGTAATACATCAAAGAGCCCTAAGGGCGTACACCTTTCAACACTATGGCATTGATTACACAAAATAGAGTACTATCTCAAAACAAGTTAGCTCGACAGCTGTAGCACATAACATCAAATGAGCCTTCATGC